TGTGTGTGTATGTATATGTATTATATATATATGTATATATATATATATATATATATATACACACACCTTGCTACGTGTACTGTGTTAGGCTAACCGAGACTTGTCATTTGCACTTATATATTGTTGCTATAGTTTAGTATAGTATAGTTAGTTTTGACTGCTTTTATTGTCCTCATTTGTAAGTCGCTTTGGATAAAAGTGTCTGCTAAATGACTAAATAAATAATAATAAATAAATAATATAAAACAAAGCAGTCGTTTCTGAAAATGTAATCAGTCACAACTGACGTTAGGTCGCAAATTGCATTTTTGAGAGAAAAAAAAAACAGTCGCTTCAGTGTATTTATTTTTTATTTATTATTTATTATTTAAGTCACATTTCATCATTATATTTAAAAAATGATGTAAAACACAGTAAATAAAATGAAACGGTTACAAGCATTACAGACACTACAAATTATTTTAGTTCCCCACACTCAAATCCTTTAAATTTAATAGTATTTATTTAGTACAGAACTGCAGTAATCAAAGTAAGTAAACACATTTATTTAAAGTGAAACCACTAGCATGTGGGAAATGTGCTATACAAATAAACTTGTCCTCATGTACTATTCACTTTTGGCAAAAATACAAATGCTTTACGTTTTTTACATTTTTGTCACAGCACATTTCAAATGATAAAAAAGCTACTTATATTATGGGAAATGATGTGTCCATGCACGTATGTATATAATATAATATAAAATGTTCATTTCAATAAAATATACAGACTGATTTACCTTGTAATCAGCAGGGTTTTGCTCTCCAAAAACAAAATTTGTGTGATTGAATCTTTGTGTCCTTTGAGTCTGTACAGACCACACTCATTGATGATATCCCACACAATCACATCTGTGTCCTGAAACACAACAACAAAGAAAATGATTTTACTTCATGCAAAATTGAAAATCAGTTTAAAAAAAAAAAACTGTGCTAAAATGAACTCTGGTCTTACTCTGGAGCCAGTGACGAGACGAGCACCCAGTGCATCATATCTTATAACTGAGACAGCTGATTTGTGTCCACTGAAGGAGATGTTGCTTTCGCCGTTGAGCAGACTAAAGATGCGCACACCTCCATCCTCATAACCTACCGCTATGTGGACGCCATCAGGAGAAGGACACAGGTATGTTACCTCATGCTTTTTACCTTCAAGTATAAGAACCTGAGAATTGAAAGGAGTAAGTGCAATGTTTATGAGTTTAAATAAACTGACGAGTAAATGTACCAAGCAATCTTCTAAACCATTTAAAAAGCAAGTACCTTCTCAGCTTTGCGGACATCCCATATGAACACATGCTCACAAGCTCCCACAGCAACATATCGACCCTTCTCACCTCCCCTAAGGGTCACAAACGCGATGTTGGCCTTCTGATTGCCGATCACTCCAAATACAGCACTCGCCACATAGCGCAGGTACTGCTTAGTTAAACCCATGGCAAGCCAGAGGCTGTAGACACACACACAACAGTAGGTAGTGGGGTTAGATGTGTGTGTTGCTCCTTTAATCTAGCAAACTGCACAATTTGTCATGTGAGAGCATATTTAGAATGAGACCAATCATACTTTATAAATCGGCGTATTTAGCTAGTAGCTAAAGCATATCTGTAATTATGAGTTTAATGTTGTTGTATTTTGTGTGCATGGTTCCTTATAATAAATACAAAAATCATAATTATTGGTTAACAGCTAATGTATAAAACCATAATCTTGAGCTTGCTGAAAAATTCAATTATACTATATATAGATTAAATGCTCAGTCACTTCATGTTCATCCTGTATCAACAAAAGGTATTTTAGCCCTTCGGCTGCACCAAGTGAAGCTCGTAACTACCTTCAAAAGTTATGATTGCCAATTGTAATGTATATGAATTTAACGGTCAGTCCATAAAATGAAAGTGAGCAACTATTGCGCCAACACCACGCTTCACAGCAACGTGAACCACATGCAGTCCGTTTAATCGTATTTAGAGAGCAAGAGATAAGCAGATATTAGTAAGCTACAAAGTTCAAAATAAGCAACTGCGTATAGAAAATGTAGTTACATACTTTGTCGATTAGATGTATTTTGTATCTGCAGTCTTTTACGAAAATAGTGTTTCTGTGGATGTGGAGAACGTCGACATGCTTTTCAGTCGCATGTGTGACATCAAGTAAAGACAAAAGTGGTAGATTACCGAGCGGAACTACGATGTTACTTCACAAAATGTTGCCAGAATGTTTTTATAGACATTTGTGTCACTCTAAAATATGTGTTCCTCATTATTCACACTGCTTTATGCATTTTATTTATCTGTTCTTCTTGTGAATTATGTGTATAGTATCGATTACTTCGGTCTGTGAATGCGAAGTCATGTTGCTGTCCACGAGGCGCATCAAATGTGTTCATAATTAAACTTTATTTAATTAATTAATTAATTATACTTTATTATGCTTATTTTAATTTAGCGATGACACTATAGCGTCGATTAAAGTCTATGTTGCAATATTGTATATGTCTGTGCGTTTTCTACACGGATCGACAACATAGCCACTGACCCTACTGCATTCCCGGAAGTGATGATCTTTTCCTCGTGAATCAGCTGATCAGGAAACTCGCTGAATGTTACAAACACGATGTGTTGACCACAAGCAGCTAAAATCACATTTTAACAATGGCTCATTTAAAAGCGGAAGCACAGGAAGATGACAGTGATCTTTAACTCTATCTTTAACGGATTAGTTCGAGCTAATGTGGTTTGGTGTTTGCAGTAGCTGCATCGTAGGACATCTGGTAGGTTGCTGGTCTTTGTGATTGATGGTGGTTATAATCTTGCATTTTCATCAAGTCGATATAAACCTGTGTGGTAGAATAAGTATGACGTGTTGCTTTCCTTTATATCCTCTTTGAAACAGGATTGTGTTGCATTGTTTGTATGTTACTGTTGCAGTCGAGATGAAACTTTGATGTATTTGAACAAACTCGTTGCTTTGTTGTTGTTGAAATCTAATTTGGCGAGTCGACCTTTACACATGCATCTCATTTCTGCTGAATACCTTATCTGTTCCTGAAGTCCTGTCTGGCTGCGCTGATAGAGCCTCTCTGTTGTGCTTGAAAGTCAATTAGGTTCATGAACACTCCACTTCTCATACTGCAGCTGGCACTGAAAGTATTGCTGAATGCTTTTACAATTATTGTTGCATTTTGAAAGTTTGGGAATGTATTTATTTTGTTTCATTGTGGCTTTATGATTTATGTGAATTCATTTCGAAGAAAGCACCACACAGTATTACAATATATTATAAAAATAATAATATTATATGTTTTTTGTAAACATCAGTTGAGTGTGAAAAACTTGCATGTATATGTGGGTTTAAAAAATACAACACTTTTACTAAATTGGTTCTCAATCAGGGCTCGGGGCCCACTAGAGGGCCTCAGCAGACTTCCAAGATGACTAATAATGATCTTTAAAAAAGCATCATATGACCCCTTTAATTAAATGGGTTATATTAAAATAATAGCATTTATTTAAAATGCATAATTCTAAATGTATAAATGTATAATTTATAATTTATACAATGTATCAAATTTAAATGAACCTTCAAGTATTGTCTTGGACAATAGTGGCACCGAAGCACTTTTTTAAAAGATACATTATAGATCCAAAGTAATTTCATACACCATTTATCTGCCTGAAATTCACTGAAGTCTGGCATTGTAACCACCATCTTACATGTTTAAACTGATGCAATGCCAGTATAGCCCAGGTCAAACTACAGTCTCTTTCTGTGTAAATGCAGTGAAGCTACAGCATGGATCCCTTGGGAGCTCGTTCCCAGTTTGTCGCGGTCCAGAACCTCCCCACGTGGGACCAGTCTCAGGGAGTCCAGGACGAGGTGGATGGAGAAAACCAATTAACAGAGGAAGATGACCAGCTGACCAATCAGCTCAATTCTTTAGAGTCCCCTTTCCCCTTCAGACAAGACATCAACAGCAAGATTGTATTATTGTGAGTGTTATTTTCAATGACATTTCTTAAACATTCTGTTTTGTTCTTCTCCACAAATTTCTGCATTATTTCAACAAAAATCGCTTAATAAACAGACTACATAAAACTTTTTTAGTCCTAAAAGCCTAAGCCTCAAGATTATCTATAAATATAAGTACTGATTTGCTTAATCCAATAGTTTAAGATTGTTTAATGGTTTAATCCTTTAGTAATTTAGACCTAAATATTATGATGATCTTCATGTCTGTTAGTCATTCCCTTGTGCACACAAATCCCCCTTATAGCTCAATCACGTGACTGTCTGGGAGGTCCTTTTGGCTTTCAGACCAATATAGCTTTTTTAGGGCAGGATTAAGCTTTTTTTTCTCTCTGAATTCATAGTTTCTCTTTTTTAAGAAAGGGGAAATTCATTGCATGGCACTTCTCTATGAAGTCCAATTAATAAAACCAGTCCTTCTGTAAATTGAGGCAGGAATAGAATTCAGCAGTACGCATAGTTTTATGATTGCAGGATTTGTTTATAGGGACTATTCTGTCATTCATCTGATTTCATTTGTTTTTTGAAAACAAATAATTCAACATTCCACGTGATGGCATAATTATATTAACACTTAACGTTATAAAATAAAATGAATGTTTTAAAATAAAAAAAATAGTGTTATTTTAGTATTAATTATAGTATTTATTAATATTTTGAGCTTTTATTTTCATATTTTAAGTTTAATTTAGTTTTAGTTATTTATTATGCATTTTTTTTTCAGTTTTAGTCTAATTTTAGTTCTTAAATTACTTCTTAAAATAATTCTTAAATGTTTTTCATTCTTTATATTTGATTTTATTTCAGCTTTATTTCAATTACCAATAATTTTAACCATTTTATTTCACAATAACAACAATGTTATTTATGCTACATTTGTTCACACAGCTTTTTCATGGCTTATATGATGTTCTGTATCTGATCTGCTGATTTATATCATTCCCTTATTTTACAGTAATGGAGATGTGGCACTGTTAAACTGCACTGCAATCGTCAATACAAGTAATGAGACACTAACGGACAAGAACCCTGTATCAGACAGTATCCATAGATATGCTGGACCTGAACTAAGGGATGAACTACTCAAACTGAAAGGTAGGGGGCACTACCAGGATAGCAGATGGAGAATTGATATCCAACTATGATCTTAAACTATTAGTGTTTTTAAATGCTGTTTGTGTTTGTTACTCAGTTTTGAAACAGATATTATCTCATTTCGTTGGTATCTCATTTCGTATCGCTTTTATTGGAGTGATATGCGTGCGTGTATATTTTTACAGGATGTCGGACCGGTGAAGCAAAAATGACAGAGGGTTTCAACTTGGCTGCACGTTTTATAATTCACACAGTTGGACCCAAATATAAAGCCAAGTACCGGACAGCTGCAGAGAGCTCTCTTTACAGCTGTTACAGAAACGTCATGCAGCTTGCCAAGTAAGCTGGACCATTCCAACAAATTTTGTGAGATTGTTGCACAAATATTAAATGTCAGCTCATACAGACTGTCTGGATATTCTTACATGGTTATACCAAGTAAATATGCTTAGATATTATATCTGTTAGTCACGCTCCAAGATCATATCAGACATTAAAAACAGTTCAAATACAGTCTAAATCAAATATTTTAGCATGAACTTGTGTTGATTGGTGGAGCAGTTCCCATGGCAACAAGGCTTTTAGTAAAGTAACACCAGCCTTTATGTTCAGTGCTTGATAATTATTAATAGGGATGTCTGATGGTGTAAAAAATAAACCCCATGTGCTTGTGGGAAGAAAGGAAATTATATAAGATTTAGATTCCATCTGTGAATACATTAGCTTTTGTGATTTTGAACTCACCCTTGGCTAAGGATAAATGCCATTCATTTCTTTTTTGGGAATGACTGTGTGTGTGTTAACAGGAGGTGTTTATGACCGTGATGCTTTACTATGCAAATAACATGTCATCAAAGACACTTCTGCCTGCTCCTAGATGGAAAAACCGGCTGACTAATGTAAACTGTGTAATTGAAGTACATGCGACATATTTTATGTTTAATCATTGTGATTCTCTCCTCAGGGAACATGCCATGGCATCTGTGGGTTTGTGTGTGGTCAGCACAGTCAAAAGGGCATATCCGCTGGAGGATGCCACACACATAGCATTAAGTAATTTCTGTTTAATTAATTTTATTATACAAGTGTTATACATCACATGTGAGGTCACTCCTTTCTGATGAAATTCAGAGGGATCTCATCAGAATGTGTTCCCCCCACATTTATGTTTCTAGGGACTGTTCGTAGATTTTTGGAGAACCATGGTGAAAATATTGAGATGGTGGTGTTTGCTGTTTCCGATGTTGAGGAGGTGTGTGGCATTTCATTTTCACTGTTATGCAACAGCCTCCATCCTTTAACTCTCCTGTGTGCTCTTTCATTTTCTTATGAAATTCTCATTTTGATTTAAAAGCCAAACGTTGTCGTGTTTGTGGGTTAAACTAACTTGTTTGCTGAGTGTGAGCTACAGGATTGTACATTAGGGATTCATGTGTTCCTTGCAAACATTTTTTAAATTGCATTATTTAAAAAAAAGAAAAAGATTTGCATACATTTTTTTATCATGTGCCTGAATGTGTATCTATGATTGATTGCCCCTAAATGTGTTTGTAATTCATTGTGTTTTCCAGCCAGTGTACAGGAAGTTAATGCCGTTGTATTACCCATGCTCAAAAAAAGAAGAGAAGATCAGTCTGCCTCTCCTCCCTGCCGACATTGGTAATACTGAGGGGGAGCCCGTGGTCCCGGAGAGACAGATCCGCATTGCCGAAAAGCCAGGAAATCTAGAAGGTGAGCTCAAATAATTGTTCATTGTATCATCTTTTCAGATCTTTAAGGTAGATATGCTATTCAAACAATTTGGGTTGGTAAGATTTTTAAAAATATTTTTCAAAGAGTTCTCTTATGCTCACCAAGACTGCATTTATATTTAAAGGGGTGGTTCACTGTTTTGTTCTAGGCTTGATTGTGTTTATGGTGTGCAGTCTAACATGTTAATGCTTTGTTTTTTT